ACATTGTTGTTTTGTTTGTATGATTGTATTCCACTTGTATCGCCGCTCACATTTTGCCACATTGTTGTTTTGTTTGTATAATTGTATTCCTCTTGTATCACCGTACACATTTTGCCACATTGTTTTTTTGTTTGTATAATTTTATTCCACTTGTATCGCCGCTCACATTGTGTCACACTGTTGTTTTGTTTGTATGATTATATTCTTCTTGTATCACAGCTCAAATTTAGCCACATTGTTATTTTATGTGTATAATTGTATTCCTCTTGTATCACCGTACACATTTTGCCACATTGTTATTTTGTTTGTATAATTGTATTCCACTTGTATCTCCGCTCACATTGTGCCACATTGTTGTTTTGTTTGTATGATTGTATTCTTCTTGTATATCAGCTCACATTTTGCCACATAGTTATTTTGTTTGTATAATTGTATTCCTCTTGTATCACCGTACACACTTTGCCACATTGTTATTTTGTTTGTATAATTGTATTCCTCTTGTATCACCGTACACATTTTGCCACATTGTTATTTTGTTTGTATAATTGTATTCCACTTGTTTCTCCGCTCACATTGTGCCACATTGTTGTTTTGTTTGTATGATTGTATTCCTCTTGTATATCAGCTCACATTGTGCCACATAGTTATTTTGTTTGTATAATTGTATTCCTCTTGTATCACCGTACACATTTTGCCACATTGTTATTTTGTTTGTATAATTGCATTCCTCTTGTATCACCGTACACATTTTGCCACATTGTTTTTTTGTTTGTATAATTTATTCCACTTGTATCGCCGCTCACATTGTGCCACACTGTTGTTTTGTTTGTATGATTATATTCTTCTTGTATCACAGCTCAAGTTTAGCCACATTGTTATTTTATGTGTATAATTGTATTCCTCTTGTATCACCGTACACATTTGCCACATTGTTATTTTGTTTGTATAATTGTATTCCACTTGTATCTCAGCTCACATTGTGCCACATTGTTGTTTTGTTTGTATGATTGTATTCCTCTTGTATATCAGCTCACATTTTGCCACATAGTTATTTTGTTTGTATAATTGTATTCCTCTTGTATCACCGTACACATTTTGCCACATTGTTATTTTGTTTGTATAATTGTATTCCTCTTGTATCACCGTACACATTGTGCCACATTGTTATTTTGTTTGTATAATTTTATTCCTCTTGCATCACCGTACACATTTTGCCACATAGTTATTTTGTTTGTAAAATTGTATTCCTCTTCTATCACCGAACACATTTTGCCACATTGTTATTTTGTTTGTAAAATTGTATTCCTCTTGTATCTCCGCTCACATTTTGCCACATTGTTATTTTGTTTGTATAATTTTATTCCACTTGTTTCACCGTACACATTTTGACACATTGTTATTTTGTTTGTATAATTTTATTCCTCTTGCATCACCGTACACATTTTGCCACATAGTTATTTTGTTTGTAAAATTGTATTCCTCTTCTATCACCGAACACATTTTGCCACATTGTTATTTTGTTTGTAAAATTGTATTCCTCTTGTATCTCCGCTCACATTTTGCCACATTGTTATTTTGTTTGTATAATTTTATTCCACTTGTATCGCCGCTCACATTGTGCCACACTGTTGTTTTGTTTGTATGATTGTATTCTTCTTGTATCACAGCTCAAATTTTGCCACATTGTTATTTTGTTTGTATAATTGTATTCCTCTTGTATCACCGTACACATTGTGCCACATTGTTATTTTGTTTGTATAATTTTATCCCACTTGTATCGCCGCTCATATTGTGCCACACTGTTGTTTTTTTTGTATGATTATATTCTTCTTGTATCACAGCTCAAATTTTGCCACATTGTTATTTTGTTTGTATAATTGTATTCCTCTTGTATCACCGTACACATTTTGCCACATAGTTATTTTGTTTGTATAATTTTATTCCACTTGTATCGCCGCTCACATTGTGCCGCATTGTTGTTTTGTTTGTATGATTGTATTCTTCTTGTATCACAGCTCAAATTTTGCCACATTGTTATTTTGTTTGTATAATTGTATTCCACTTGTATCGCCGCTCACATTTTGACACATTGTTATTTTGTTTGTATAATTGTATTCCTCTTGTTTCACCGTACACATTTTGCCACATTGTTGTTTTGTTTGTATAATTGTATTCCTCTTGTATCACCGTACACATTTTGACACATTGTTATTTTGTTTGTATAATTGTATACCAGATAAATCAATGTTTATGAGACCCGGGTTCGCATACTTATTTTTTTTTAATTTTGGTTTTCGATCTATTTCTGATTTTTTATTACTTGTCGTCATGAACATTGATGATTTGAATTAAATATATGTTTTTTTACGTGTGTATCATTCGTTTCTTTACTTAAAGTATTACATTTCAATAAGTTTAGAACAAATTCTATATTTTTGATTACATTGCATTTTGTCAAATGAATTTTTTTTTTGTCCACTGTGGCAACCCAGACAAAAAAATTACTTGTCCGGTCGTAAAAATGAACGAGTCGGGCGAGTCGGGCATATCATTTCCACACCCCTGTGTAGTGAAGTGTAGTGTAGTGTAGTGAAAAAAGACATGATAGAAAAACAAATCACGGGTATATATAGTGTGTCTTTCTATGTTGCGATGTTACACTATTGTTTCAGGTAGGGTGATGGTTGGCGCCGATTAAAGCGTTTTTTGATGTGGTTCATAAGTGTTTCTCGTTTCTCGTGTTTTATATAGATTAGACCGTAGGTTTTCCTGTTTGAATGGTTTTACACTAGTCATTTTGGGGGCCCTTTATAGCTTGCTGTTCGGTGTGAGCCAAGGCTCCGTGCTGAAGGCCGTACTTTGACCTTTAATGGTTTACTTTTACAAATTGTGACTTTGATGGAGAGTTGTCTCATTGGCACTCATACCACATCTTCTTATATCTACACATCACAAGGTAATTTGAACAATGTAAAATTCAGTTGTTATTTTTTATTTCAACATCTTCAGGAATGAAAAAGAACAATCTCAAACCCAATAACTTTTTTTTTAATATTTTGAAACACAAAATGCATATACTATTTCATATCAAGATTCTGGAAAGCCTTTCAAAGTTTCCAGTTGTACAGTTTTGACTGTACTCACAATAAAATTCGCGGTGCAAACATAACTAATTTTTAACCAAAAAGCTATGTTGAACTATAACAAAAGGAAATATTGGGTAGAATAAAACATGCTTTTCAGTCGAATTTGAAATAACTTAATCGAAAAAGGCCACAATTCCAAATAAAACTTAAAAGAGTGTTATGATGTATACCCATATTCATCTTGTATTTCTGGTCAAAATGTCAATGATGTCATAAGTGCGTGAATTTCGTTAAATTCAGTATGGTATACCAAATTTGAATTGTTAAAAGCTTTCCTGAATAGAAAGAATGCAAAATTATATTACCAAGTTACAACTATTATACTATATTAGAAAGACTGTCATAACATTGTGTTGCATTTTTCGTGTCCTCTTTTTAGAGAATAAATGTTATTACGGATTTGGTTCGTAAAATAAAAGATCGTAAATGGAAAATAATAATATGTAATTTCCTGACATTAGTTTGATCTTTTGTGTCCTCAACTCATGTGAAGGAAATCATAAATTTGAGGTAAATTGACGGTTGCTATGGGTATTATAAACAAGCTGCCAAGGAATATGGTCATTTGACTTCAATTTCTAAAACAGAATGATAAAAGTACTAATATAAAGCATAGCTGTTTTGTCCAGGTTTCTTCTTTTTTTTAATAAGAAGTAGCAAATTCAGAAAATGTCATTACTGTCGCCAAAGTAGGAAAAAATACTACCGTTTTCCCTATAAAAAAAGCATGAACCCAACACAAACCGGTGGATAAAGAAAGATAACTCTATATTTTATAGGTTATGTACACAATTATCGCATTACAAGTAAACCAACACAATAAACACCGACACGAGTTTGAAGGAGACAAAAGAGATGTAAACTGTGAGTTCTTATTATATTTTTTAGGAATAGTTACGTAGTGCAGGTTTTTGTGTTCCCTTAAAGGTTTTATTGTGTTGGTCTGAAATCAGTCTCACGTGTTTCACAGTCTTGGTTTTGATGTATTAATTTTTATGAAACCCCATTTATGATTTACCCTTAAAGTTCGACAGGGACAACACTGTCCTAATGGTACAAGTTGGTACCATACAAGCTACGACTTGTCCTATACGGTACAATTTGTACTTGTAAAATTGTAGGTTATCCAAGTCTATCAAGATCATCAAGAACAGGCACCAACCTTGTCCTGTGCGATGCAATTCCATATTCTGATCGAGATTCTGATAATCACGTGCCGTACGTATCATGGCCATCTTCTTCGTAAACTTTAGACGAATGACCCTGAAACTACTACTACGGAGTGTTTAACTACCTTGACTACCCATGAGGGTCTCGCAATTTCGGTCCTGACATATGCCTTTTTAGGGCATATAAATAATTTTTTACCTTACGGTATTTAATATAGTTTTAAGAGATAAAAATATAATATAAATTTGTACAAGGAATAATTAAGTAAACAGAAATAAATAAATAGATTTAAAATGATAAATAATAAATTAAGTAAAAAAAGGAATAAAGCTAAATAAATAAGAATAAAATTTGAAAAAAATTGAAAATTAAAAATATGCGCCACACAAAGTGAACAGGGTAAAAAACCAATCCAAGACAATGAGCGGCAAGGACTTTGATTGAGTACACTAGGAGCCAAGTATAGAGAGGAATTTTGTGTTGCCAAAACTTCATAACTAATTTAGTTGCCAAAAGCTGCAGCCATACATAGCCAGAAATTAGTAGTACTTTTGCTAATTAATATTCATAATATGTAAATGAGAATTGTACCACGTGATAATAGTTTGAACTGGACTGGCTTGATATCATTAAAATCTTTAAAACACGGATATTATAAGTTGCCCGTCACAGAGTCCTTGTTTATAATCACTCTGATATTTCCGTAAAGTTGCCAGGCTGTCAAAATCAAAACAATGAGAGCGAATTTAGTGAATTTTTCGTGTTTTCGTGAGTTTATTCTTTTTGAAATAGGGGCATTTTAACTTTACGTGGGAACCTAGAGTTCAACGACTACACATACAAGGTTTGGACTTGCTTATTCTTTGGACATTCAAGTTTCAAGTTTCATCCCGGCAACCTGTTTTTATAATGACCTTGTTAGCCAATTTTCAACACGAAGTTTGCAAATTTGACGTTTCAGCCATTTTAGCCTGTATTTTATACTTCAATGTTAAAAGCCTCTCGCTTCGATTTTTAAAATAGCTCAGGAACCTTGATTGTTGCAACGACAGTCATTATGTTTCGTTTAATAATGTTTTGTATATTTATTTTCTGTCCCGGCAACCTGTCTATCACTTAAATTAAAGTTAAAACAGACATTTTTTTCAAAATTCCCTATCATTTTTATATAATTTCCGTGACCCGTATCCGATTTCTTTAGTATAATATCCAAATAAGCAAAGTGGCGTTGATTTCTGGATATGTATGAGAAAACAAAGATTACTTAAAATTTTTTATGCAAAGTTGTGTATGCGAATTTAGTAGTCATCCCTGTTACCGTAAACCAGGCGTAACGTTAAAGCCTCCATTTTGTTTGATGGAGGGAATTTTCGATAAAGGTCAAACGGTCATTATAAGTAATAAACAGTTGCAGACGATATTTGTATCTATATTATTTGTATAGTATGTATTTATAATTAATTATATATTCCACATCAAGATTGTGATGAATATTTCAATTATGAAACGTTTTTAATTGAATTGGGTATGTCATTAGGTAATTATAGTTAATAATTAAGTATAAAGTAATTTCAGAAAATTACACAATGATTACCCAGGTAGATATAGTTTTGACAGGTGTAATTTTAACGATTGCCATTGTTAAGGAAATAAATGTTATTAATCAAGTGTAATCCAAGAGATAGATGACAGAAAATAGAAAGAAGAAAAATCCACGTTTATCGTGTGATTTGTTTGTATATATATATAAATGACCTAGTTAACGATCTGAATATTCATTGATTTCATGACTATAAATAGATTTGTGTGGAATCCTATAAAAAGCATGCACAATGATTTGTATGTAAACATTGTTGTTTTGTGTGAAAGTCAGCTGTAACTTTTTTGTTTTAAAATGCGTGTATTTCAGAAATTAATTAATATTAAAAAAAATATGTTTTGATACCGACAGATCAGTAACTAGATTATTCCGGTTTACATCTGCTTGCGGTAAACGATGTATACAGGGTAAATAATAAAAGTGTTTGGTGCTTGACATGACCTGTCCACTGTTATGAGTCTTGACTATTCATTTAGATGATAAGTAAAAAATCGCGGAGTTTCCCTTTAACAATGGCAATCGTTAAAATTACACCTGTCAAAACTATATCTACCTGGGTAATCATTGTGTAATTTTCTGAAATTTCTTTATACTTATTAACTATAATTACCTAATGACATACCCAATTCAAATAAAAACGTTTCTTAATTGAAATATTCATCACAATCTTGATGTGGGAATTATAATTAATTATAAATACATACAATACAAATAATATAGATTTAAGATACAAATATCGTCTGCAACTGTTTATTACTTATAATGATCGTTTTACCTTTATCGAAAATTCCCTCCATCAAACAAAATGGAGGCTTTAACGCCACGCCTATGGGAGAAAAGTGGTCTACGGTAACAGGGATGACTACTTTTAGTTGCCAAATGTATTGTAACAGGCCTTAATATGTGTTTGTGAATTTAGTAATATTGATTGTAGTTAGTTATTAAATGTACAATGTATGTAATATAAAGAACAATCAAAGGGTGCATGTGTAGTTTGAACTGCTTTGTGCTAGCCTGCCGTAGTTGCAGGATTTTAGTTGGGGTGCTAGTATACCGGAACGCTGTCTGCAGGATTGGAAGACAAAAAACCCCACGCTAATTCCTTTATACTGAGTTAGTGCGAACCAATTGAAACTGGAACACTGCTAAGGGATGTTTAACGACCTTGACTACCAATGAGGGTCTCGCATGGTCGGCACACTGAAACGGATTTCTCGATGGCTTATATAGGACTCTAAAGGTCATACCATTATTCTAGAATAGATGTTCCCTTATATTCCTCATTGTTCTTCTTCCTTTCGAACACCCTTAACATTTGGCCTCTCCTTAAATTGCCCCGCCAAGTATCTTGTTCATTTCTATGTTTTTTCTATGTATATCCAAAACGTAAAATAAGGTTACCATCAAACCGTTACTATTGTAATCCCTCTAAAACATAACAGATGCAAATCAAACCATATCAAATCATTTATTGGTTTAAAATCCAAATACTGTACATGTACAGCATCGTAACCAAGACATACAAAATTCATTACTCACAAATATACAAAATACAGTACTAACCAAGTTTTAGCTTTCCAAAAAGCTTTGGAGTGCTTTGCTTACCATACCTTTAAGACAGATGTGGTCTCTGTGTGGTGGTTTAAGTATAGAAAAGGGTGTAAACGGTTATTTATCTCCTTCATGCATATAATCATTATTGTGGTATTATAAACCCGTCTTAGATGGGACGTATTCTGTTATACTGTAGGTTGTCCATGAACACTTCCTACAATAACTCAAATTAGCTTTAACCAATTCTCACAAAAATTTTAATGGAGTATCAGGATTGATAGAAGGAATCTTCCTTTTGATTGTAAATCCATTTGGTGGCGTCATTATAGAGATACCGTTTGATTTTGAAAATCTTTGATTCTGTCATTCCACAGTTATGGGAATTTGACGGTCTGATTAACAAAAGGTAATATTATACATGGCATGCACTAGATCTAGTATGCTTGGATCAATTTAATACATTTTACACTTTTGTTGCTATTGGTTAATCTAGACTCACTTTGGAATTTTTAAATTTTATGGTTAGTCGTTCTAGAGACTTTTAATCATTCTTAAGCAATCTTTATTTTCATATGGATGTATACATGCATGTTTTCCTACACCGCCATTATACTAACTTATAATCAGATGCTACCTAAATACTAGTATTCCAGATCATTCTCAAGACAATTCTAATGCACAATTCGGGGGTTTCATATGCCGTTTGCGTACCTTGTTATTCTTGTATATCATTTGGTTTTAAAACAAAGAATACATGCATTCTGACTAAATTCTTGAAGATTATTGGCAATATGTATTTTAGGTGTTGGTGTATATGCATATATAGTCAGATGATCACTCAGAAACTTGTTCATCTTTGTCCCTTCTCTTATTTATCAAGTTCAAGAATTTGACTCTACATTATATAAGAAAGATAAACCAGTAAAGGCAACATTATTCATTGATCTTGAATACCCATATTGTGATTTTGTCCGTATTTAATATCTTCTCCTGTCCGGAACATATTCCCAATTCTACATCTCATTCCAATAAAATCTTCCCCAAATCATATGGCAACCAATGAGAACCGATATTTGTTACATAATAATTTCAAGATGGCTTGCCTATCGTATGAAACTAATATCTTCGCACCGTGACGCGAAGCAAAAACATTTAAAGCAACTGTCAAATATGTAGACAACTTTTATTCACCTTGAAGAACAATTATATTCTGTCAATACGGGACAAAGGAATATCACAACTACGTTTGGATTTGGAATTAAACAATTTTTAGAGGTGCTACAACATACCTACTCCTTCTCATCCAATGGAAAATAAGTATTCTTCATAGTACATGGCTTACCATGCAATATAAAATGATGTACACGATGATTTTAGATTAATTACTGTAGAATAACTGCACTATGTGCACAATCCCCTGAAGCAATTTCCGTTGGAAAACAGCTAAAGGAAAACAACACAATTGATGATTAATAGATATAGGAAGATGTGGTATGAGTGCCAATGAGACAACTCTCCATCCAAGTTACAATTTATAAAATTAAACCATTATAGGTCAAGGTACGGCCTTCAACACGGAGCATTGGCTCACACCGAACAGCAAGCTATAAAGGGCCCCAAAAAATTACTAGTGTAAAACCATTCAAACGAAAAAACCAACGGTCTAGTCTATATAAAAACGAGAAACGAGAAACACGTATGAACCACATAAACAGACGACAACCACTGTAATCAGATTCCTGACTTAGGACAGGTGCAAACATTTGCAGCGGGATTAAACGTTTTAATGGTACCAAACCTTCTCCCTTTTCTGAAACAATAGTATAACATCACAACATAGAAAAACATATTATGTTGGCTTACTATTATAATGATTTACAATATTCGATTGTGTGATAAGAAACCGAGTTTTCAATGAAGAATATCGTAGGTAAAACTATAATACAGCTGCATTAACAGTGATAACGTTGAAATTCGAGTAAACCTTACAATCAATCCTCTGTGTCAGGACGTTTTTCTTTTGCGTTAGGAAAAATAAAAGTCATCATTCATAAACACTCATCGAAGATACCAGGCTTATAATACCATAAAATATTCCTACTTTTATATTAAATATCGAATTTTAAAAAGGACCATTTCTAACGATATTAATTATCAAGTATCTCGACGCGGAGAACAATTATATATTACTTTGTATTATAGGAAATTAATAGAAGGCAATACACAACATATGATACAGACAATAAAAGGACCGACGAAACAGAATTAGAATGTTTCTCGACTCAATCATCAAATTTGGCGGAAGTGCAGTAACCGTGAAGGACACGTTAGAAACTCTGAAAGAGGATGAACTGACACACGCATGCTGCATTGTTAAGAACTTTCTACAACATGGAAAACGAATTGTTATTGTACATGGAGCTGGGTATGTATTTTGTCTGACGTAACTATAAATGTTATAATGAATCCTGCATTTTTATTCTACAGAATACAATTTTGAAATATTGATATAGATATATGTCTTCTAAATTTTGAAAAAGTACCAGATTGGTTTTTTTATAGTTACCTTTCCGGAAATCTGGGACAATTGTACATTTATATAATAAAAAAGAAAGAATATGGGATATCCATCCATGACACATAATCAGTGCATGCACAGTGAAAAAATACACAAAACGCAAAGGAACAGCGCTGTTATTGCTGTTTGTTATTGCTGTTTGCTTAACATCCAGTGGCAAATATATCATTCATACTGAGAACGAGAGCAAATTAACAATAAAGACAAAAGGTAGGTTCTGCAGAGTGGGTCGACCAGAAATAATGACCGAAATTCAGACTATATTAAAGGGCATAAGCTACGACATATAATTAAAACAGGATTTTTTTTAAAACATTTATAAAAACGGAATTGTGAAATAGCATTTCGCTATTAACAGTCAGTTTGGTTCAATTTTGTCTAAATAAGCTATAAAACATTGATAAAGTATTATTGGTTTGCAAGACAAAAATTAAACCTCATTTGAATCCGGGTTCATGCGACCTTCAATTTAACGCTTTCCTGGAGATGGGTTACGCATGTGCTAAGGATGTTCAGTAATTAAAAAGAATAGGATGTCAACATTGAAAAGTGAAACGACGAAGCCACTCAGAAGAACCATTTTGTTGACAAATTCTGCACACACAAAAATGTTGCTGTAACACGATTATTTACATATTTTTTTAATCAATGACATGAAATCAAACAGACCTAGAAAAAACGTCATTATACGATTGTACGTGCTCGTGTGTATATTTATATTTATGCTTATGTTTATATGAGGTCATATGACTGTCGGCATTCTTCAGAGGTCATCTCTATGGTTGATTCGATGGCTTAAATACACACAAAATGCTGACACATTACAACGAGTCCATGCATTGTAATATTTCTTTTGGAATTTTTGTTATTTGTATATTCTTTTTAGTATGTTGTTATAAATCAAATATGAGTATTTGATTCAAATCGGTGAACATGAATTTTGGCAGCTAATGTCCCTTTAAAGATAAGAGAGGATTTCTTAATTAATCACGAGGGATTAATAGGTTTTGAAAAAAAGAATGGAAGAGCACGGCAAACTTCACAAAAAATAACATCAGGAAGAAGAAAAATCACCAGTCAAAAAAACATCGGTATAATACAGACATAACATTTGGTGGGTTTCAATTAATTTTTCCGATGGATACCCAAACTTTCAGCTTATCCATCTTTCTCAAAGATACCAACCACTCGGTCAAGGTTATATTAAGCCTTAACTAATACTGTCACATCAAAAGTTTTACAGGTGCCATTACAATCAATATGAGATGAGATATGTGACAATTAATCGTAGTCATATTTCTCTAATTGTTTCACGATCTTTGAATTTTTTTTATTTCATCTAATTTGACTCATTATCGGCTCTGACTGTTATGAAATATGATGGGTGTCGCATGTGAAGCAAAATATGCTTTTGCTTTTATTTTTGTTAGTCCGTATATCCCGCTCAGTAATACCGGTATTTCAGTGCGCATGGCACGTGTTTCTATGGCAAATTTCGTCTGGTAAGCTGGGGATCAATGTGTTCGAAACCAAATACACTAAATTGATGTTGGGGACATCGTATAAAACAAAATCCTTGGTATAACAGACAAATCCTTTTTATAGTGAACTTTGCCTGAGAAAATTGCAAACATAATTTTGTTATTCTATGATTTAAACCATGTATAGAAGAGAATCAGGCAATTACTGAATCACGGTCTTGTCACGATTGAATATCATTTTGTGAGTTATATGGATGTATATTATTTTATGTAAACATGAAACGACTTATTGTAGGTCGTTCGGTCACCATCAGGCCAAAAGGTACAATGTCAATGCTGGTTTTACAAACGAAGACACTAAAAAGGGTTTTTGTATGACGAGAGTGTCTGTCATAAAGGTATGGGAAAGATTTTCTATCCTATTGATGGACACATGAAGGGGGTTCAAATAGAAAGTCTCGCCAAGGCGTAATGGCTCAATATTGCATAATTGTTTTGATACTTAGAGTCCGATTATCTAGCTTAATTAGAATGTAATCGTTCGTGATCTAGAAAAGCATATAATCGTTCGGGGCTTAAGGATATGTTTTGGTCAAATAAAAGGAAATAATTTTAAAAAGAACTAAATGTTTCAGGTTTTGTATGTTGAATATATAGTTTCAGCAAAAAAAATAATGTTAGAGTAGTAAAATCACTTTATGTTTATTTTAACTGTATTGCTTTAGTACAATTTGCATTCAATATTGATATTTCAGCTTAATAATATGATAGTAAACCGTCTGTGTCAACATGGAGTAAACGCTGTTGGCATACCGGTAAGTATCAATCATATAAAATACGGAGATATGGTATGATTGCAAAGGAGACAACTATCAACAAGAGACCAGAAATGACGAAAATGTAAGCAACTAAAGGTCACCTTATGGCATTCAACGATGAACAAAACCTATACTGAATAGCAAGCTTTAAAAGGCCTCGACATGACAAAATGTAAAACAATTCAAACGAGAAAAACATCAAATGAAAAACGACAACCACTGAATTATAGGCGGCGTTTGACTTGAGACAAACACACACAACATGTTTGCGGGCTCCCAAGCCTCATTATAATTTGGAACAGTGGTGTAAGAAAACAACATAAGAACAAATCATTAAAATTTGTTGAAAAGGGATTGACTCATCAGATTGATACAAGCACAAAGTCAACTAACAAAAACACTAAACACACAAGAGATTACTCGCAGTTACTGAAAGCTAGTTCAAAGCCAATAAAAAAATCATGTATCCAGGACAAAATATCACATCCTATGGATTTAATATAAAGACGCAATAAACAGTCTAGGAAGACACGACCTTGTGCAATGCCAAAATGTAAAAGGTGACAGGATGTGGAACCGTAAGTGATAATAACTGTAATAAGAAGATGTGGTATGAATCGATTGCCAATGAGACGACTCTCTGCCAGAGACCAAATGATGTAGAAGTTAGCAATTAATGGTCATGGTACGGCAAACGAAAACAAATATGATATAGCAACAAACCACAACTACTTATTTATAGGTTCCTGACTTTAGTTCTGTTTTAACTTATTGATATTAAAATCAATGTGAGGACCGATAAAACAATATTCATAGAACTTATTACAGTGTTAAATTGGTAATCTTTTAGAATAAGTTTATTTAAAGGCATGGATGGTATCAAAATTTATGAGCTCTAAAAATATCATTTATTCATGAAAATATTTCTAGATATCTAGTTTTTTTCCACTCGTTCCTTTGGTTGATAACGTTTGATTTTGTCAGTTTTATGGACTTCCCCCTTTTTAGCTCACCTTGCCAAAAGGACCAACTAAACTTTTCTCATCACTTTGGCGTCCATCGTCTGTCGTCGTCGTCGTCCGTTGTCCGTTAACTTTTACAAAAATCTTCATCTCTGAAACTACTGGACCAAATTCAAAAATGGCTAAAAATAGAACATAGGGGTAAACTGCAAGTTTTGTGTATTATTTTGAAAACAGCAATAAGGAAAAATCTGACAAGGGCAGAAATGTTCAGAATATTGAGCTCTACCAATTGTAAGTTTACGTTAAAACTGTCAGGGGACTTTTTATATGAGTTAGTGCCCTTAAACGGCAAATTTTAACTTTTTTGTTCATTTTTGCCTATTATCTTGAAACCTATATTAGATACAGGGAAACTTTAATTGTGAAAATGATCAGCAAGATGGGATCTACTAATAAGTCTGCATGGTCGAAATCGTCAGTCGACTTCTTATTAGTCTAGAGTTATTGCCCTTAGATGACGATTTGTACCATTTTTTTGCGTTTTTGCCTTATATCTTAAATATTATAATAGATAGATAGATAGAAATTTAATGAAGCAAAATGATCGGCAAGACGAGATCTACAATTAAGACAATAGGAGGAATCGGCCGATGACTCCCTATTGGAGTTAATTCCCTTTAATGACGATTTTCACCCTTTTTTTGCGTTTTGCCTTATATGATAAAAAATATAATAGAGAAACTTTAAATAACAAAAATTATCAGCAGTGCAAGATCTATAAACAAGTCAAATTTTGCCGATATAGTTAGTAGACTGTCACTCTTTATTGCAGTGATTGCCCTTACATGAAGATTTTTTTTACCCTCTTTTGTGTTTTGAGCAAACACTGAAGAAGATAGAGAGAAACTAAGCAGACAAAACGATTAGCAATATAAGATCAACAAAAAAAATGTTTGATATGAATGCTATTTTCGTCTTCAATGTTGGAAAGTGTCCTTTGTTTGAATATGTACATAGACCTAGGTGGGCGAAACAGGCTCTTTAGAGCTACTAGTTGAACTATCTTGGAGCTCGGTATTTTTGTTATACTTTTTTTCTGTACTTCTGTAACATCAGTCAGGGGTACTACTTGTACAAGTAATCTTTATTTACTTGAAGAAGTAAAAAAAATTTACTTATATAAGTTAATTATAATATTTGAATAATCTCCCCTTAATTTTCTTAAAAATTTACTTGTATGAGTAAATTTTTTTTACAATCCAACAAAAATTCTCAAGTTTTGAGATGTAAAAACATGCCTTTAATGATTTTTCCCAGGTTAGCTCATAATTTTTTATTAGAGTTCAATGTTTCATCTCATTAATTCAACAAAGAAACTGATTGCGCAAAGATCTTAAGTATTTGCGCAAGACCTTCAAAAATTGCCCCTTGGGGGCTTGTAAATGAGCAGTGTTCTGAAGATAACAGACAAATGAGATTTTCATTGTCCATGAAATTACACTATATTAATAAGTAAAGACATCTGCAAAGGACAAACAATTTAAAATTCTATTAGAGCAAAGAAGTCCTAAGAATTCAAGAAAAGAAGATAGGATGACTTTTTTACTTATATAAGTAAAAAAATCTGAGTGTCTAAGGGACATAACTAAGCCAAAAAATTATTTACCTATACAAGTAAATAAAATACACTTGTATAAGTATCCTACAAATTTACTTATATAAGTATATTTATATTTACTTCTTCAAGTAAATAAAAATTACTTGTACAAGTAGTACCCCTGACTGAACATGGTTGAGATATCTAGTCCAATAGTGTATCGAATGAAAGAAGTACACACACATTGTCATTGTGAAGGATTTTATGACCTGTGTCCTTTTTGTTCGTGCGTTTTCTTTTTGCCATAGTGTTGTTAATTTTTCTTCGACTTATGTTGTTTCTTTTCTTCTCTTGGTTTCTTCTCTCTTTTTTTTAATAGCAGTTACATATTCTACAATTAATGTATTTCATGAACAATTTTCTTTTTAAATATTTTCGTGAAAAAAGAGAAACACTTTCAGAAATATGGCCACAGCTACAATTATCAAAAACTACAAATAGAAAACCTTGGATCAGATTTTAAGTTCGATGGGGATTATACCATCTCCCACAAGAAAGGGCACTAGAACTTACACTTTTCGCTAATTGACTTACTAGTATATAAAGTTTAATGTCTGAGTTCGTATCTCACATACTGTCATATAGTTTGGTGGAATATGTGTTTAAGAAGATAATATTGACCTATATTCATTTAATTTTTTCTGGGTGTCCATTTTAGTTCATATTTCGGGTAGTTATGGGCTTAAAATCATATATATTTATTGCAAGTGTTTTGTATATTTTAAAGAAATCACAAATCTCCATTGTTAAAGGGGATATGTGACCTTTGAAAATCTTCATTGACCAAACGAATAGTCAATTTAAAAGTCGCAATTCCGTAAAACATTGCAGGATAGGACAATCAAATTAACGATTTTTTTTCGTATCACTTATACATATTACACTTCGTTCTGTGATACAAGAAATATCTCTTTTTAGGGAAACAAACAGGCCCCAACCATCACAGCATGTGTATTTCCTTTTTTAATGTAAAGACGTGTGGGTCCCTTTATAATGTTAGAAAGTTTTGATTCTTACAGTTTTATTATTTGGATCCTTTTATAATGTTTTGTTCCTTTAGGCTTTCGGCTTTTGGATTACCGACAACAGAAAGATAATACAACATAACATCGAAATGGTGAACGATGTTTTGGAGAATGGATTTGTTCCTGTGTTACACGGTGACTGTGTGTTGGATAATACATTAGGTTGTGTTATATTAAGTGGGGATACCATCATAAAGGTAAACATATGTACACCATTTAGTTCTGAACATTAAGATATTATATTGATATTAATGAATGAGGGATTTTACTCTACGTCATATTTTGTACGTTTCACTGTAGCATTCCCTGATCAATTAAAAAAAGTCTCAAATGACTGGTCAATTAACGTAGAAGGAATACAAATCCATGTGCGTATTATTCTTTAAATATTAATAAGCAGGTTAATTGAGAATCTCATACCAATACCCTTCATTTCTAATGAAAAATTGAAATTCTTGTTATTTCTGATACATATGGTGGTATGATTAACAATGAGACAACTGTCCTCTATAGACCAAATGTCTTGGAAGTGAGAAACTTCAGGTCACCGTACAGAATGTTGGACCGTGAATGTTCATAGCTGTATAGCAAAAATATTTATTAATGTATTAAACTGATTAAACTGATTACCTTTTGTAATAAGTTTATTGAAAGGATTGATAAGTTTACACTGATCGTATCTAACTTTACGGGCTCTATAAACAACTTCACCGCAAAAATTAGGATGTATTATCCTGTTTGTAATAAGTTTTCTACAGGAACAGCCAAACTTTCAAACCAAATCAAATCTTTGTATCTGAAATAATTTAGTAAAAGTTTAAAGTAATTGGTTGTTATGAAATCCCTGACTGAGTAATTTACCAATCACACATAGTTTACAGTCATTGAAATCTTAAGGATCACTGGAACCACCGTCATTACGAACGAACGAGTTGGGATATATAAATAACGTAAGATGGACCAAAAGGAACATCACCATTCTGTTTATAATTCTTTCAGTTCGACATTACTTTATTTCCTGGTCCATTTTTTATACATAAAATTCCAGAAACATCATTTTCCTGCCAAAAAATATTTGTATTCCGAGGACAATTACACGAACTTTTTTCGTAATTTTGACGTATTATAAAGTCTAAGTGTATAACAGGTAAACGTGAAGGTTCATAGAATGGAATGAACTACAAATTTCCACCTTCTGTTATATGTGGTTCATCCACCATACAGTTCCAAAACACATCCTTTAGTAATTTTCAAAGCCTCGTAACCTTGGTAAAAGACTTTTTGAGTTAAGAGTTAGCTCTGTGAAAGGAAATCTTACAATCAGAACAAGCTCTATGATATCTAATATATTGAGATACATTAGGACACTAGAATGCATTTGGTATGTTACTAATTAATCCACCCAAGGTGACAATATAAAAAATGTTATCTTCGCGTTTTTCATAGAAATAAGTCCATCAGCATTGATTTTAAGAAAAAAAAACTAAAAAAAAAATAATTTGGTGTGATAAAAAGAAAACTAAACGATAGAATTTAAAGATTAAATATGAGAAGATAGCTCTTGTAATGTGCTCTCAGAAAATAAAAATAAAAATTTGTTTTCACGGGACTCGTTTTCTTGCTACAAAAAAATAGATAAATTCATAACACCTTCCAATATAATAGTTATATTATCTGAGTTATCTACCCTTATATGGCAAAGTTAAAAAAAAATTGAATCCAACAAAACTATTTCTGTATTTTTAAAAAGCACTTACTGAAATTTAATAAAACACATAATTTTCTTCATTTAGAAGAACAGTCTTACAAATGAATTACATTCTACTATCGAAATTTTCTCATTTCATTAAAGTTCTAGACCGATTGTTTTCTGCTATTTTACAATCAAAGATGGCAGAAGACACCCGCTCTATCCGAATAAAGTTTTGTGTAAAGTTTGCTTCATTTGAATACAAGAACATGACGACTACCAAGAGCACCTGTTTAATTCCCACTTGAATACAGTGTACGAGTGGAGAACAGCCTAAATTTAGATATCGTTGCAAACTTTAGCAATTGTGATGAAAGAAATTCTAGTAAATCTTTGATTTTTTATAGAAATGAAGTATTCATTCAAAAGGGAACAAAGCCATTAAATTATCTTAAGATATGACGTGATTTATTTCAGACAATATCAAAGCAAAATGATGTCAGAAACGTTTTATTTTTAACTGATGTTGATGGAATTTACAACAAATCACCACAAGACAAAGGTATTCAGGAATTTTTATCACAATTTCTTTTTGTAAACTTGGATTTTATGTCTTCAAAAGGGAGGACATATTCTGGATTTTTTTAAGATAACGATTTCGGATACAAAATCAATGTCAATATACAGAACAAAACTCATCCAAAGATACCTGCGACTGTTTTAACAAAATGTTTTAACTGTTAAAAACGCTTTAACACGTTAGGTGTAGCAGAGTAATGATTTGATTGCTCTCCTACGTGTCTTCTTATAGATATATTTCAATGACGTTTGATACGACTACAGGTTTCTCTTCTATTGCGTATGGTTCAGTGCTCTGTTCTTTAAATATATTGGCTCTTTCAATAACAAGTATTATCACATGATGATCTTTTGATCTTTCCCCTCCTCCCAATATCTTTTTGACTTTATTATCAGTAAAGAAATAAAAAGATGTGGTATGATTGCCAATGAGACAACCCTCCATCAGAGACCAATGCCAGGTAATTGTGTCCCTGTTGAGTTGCATGCACATACTTATAGAATATTTATTTCTTCAGATATAATATCGAATTGTTTTACAACTTCTTCATATTTCATTTTTTGTCTCGTCTTGACGGAGTCAAAAAGCGAGACATAGGTATGCTGTTTCCGGCGTCGACGACGACGGCGGCTGCGTCAACAATGTATTAGTTTGTGATTAGGTCTAGTTTATTGTGAACCACTAGCAGTAGGTCAATGATATTTGATATGCAGTTGTATTAGCATTGGCACATCTCATTACCATGGAGTTTGTTTAGCCCTGTATCTTCAGTCATGGTTCATTGACTTTAAATATTTGCATAACTTACATGTTAAAGTATTGCTATATTAATTTTCAACATTTGCATTATCAAAATAACAAATAGGCGAGACATATCTCTGTGTTAAAAGTTTATGATATCATAGTTCTATAAATTTTATGTATGCAGTCCATCATTTTACACAAATGGCAAAGAGGGACGAAAGATACCAGAGGGACAGTCAAACTCATAGATCAAAAACAAACTGACAATGCCATGGCCAAAAATAAAAAAGACAAACAGACAAATAATAGTGCAGATGACACAACATAGAAAAATAAAGACTAAGTAACACGAACCCCACCAAAAACTGGGGGTGATCTCAGGTGCTCCGGAAGGGTAAGCAGATCCTGCTCCACATGTGGCACCCGTCGTGTTGCTTATGTTATTACAAATCCGGTAAATAGTCTAATTCGGTAGGTCACATTCGTGAAAAGGGAAAGGTATTGTAGTTACGACATAAGGAACATATCCGATATCATCTGTGAAACGGTTATTCCATAACGGTCAACCAACTGGTGATGGCGTCCGTAAAATTTACGAAGGGATGATTTCAACTTCACCATTTGGAACTCTTAGTTTAATAGCTTCCTTATGAGCAGCAATCCTCTATCAAGGAAATCATGATAGGAAATACAAGCTGTGACCGTACCATGTGCCGGGCATCAAACGGTGGAATTCAGAGTTTTTATTTGTAAATGTTCAAGTGATCGATTATTCTCACATACTTTGTTCCAAAGACTGTTATAGTGGTTATCAATAATTACTGATTAGGGCATACAATGTAGTTGCATGAACAGTTAATAAGTTTACTCATCTATGTTTAACACGTTGTTTTTGCGACGTTGCTAATAATATACACCCGAATTTCCCGGAAATACTCAGACTTTATCAAATCAGTTGCGTGAATATGATACAGTCTTACAGGAAACCAACAGAAATACTGTTTATTAATACACGTAAAGTCAACTGTGGGCATAAAGTTGCGGTTAAATAAACAACTGGTTTCTTTTCTGTCACCAAAAATATCCAATAAATGTCAGAGATTCGTATAACTGTGTGGTATAAGGCGGGAATGCTTGCTGAAAATATCTGTTTTCGTATAAAGTTTTTTTCAACGAAATATTGAAATATGAAAGTTAATTTTTTTTTTCACCAAAAACCAAAATAGTTCGAAAAGTAAGTCGTTAAGGTGTTTTTTTCTTTGTTCATCGACTTTGAGTCAAAATTTTAATGAAAATCAACGATTCTGTATCGTATGTCTTTAAGTGGACGATAGAAACCATCTTGATTTTGCTGTAATGTGAAACCTTTGAAATTATTGGTGAAAATGTTCTGTTAACTGCAAGGTGAGGACAGCAGCACAAGCTTTGTCTTGTTGGTTCATTATCGTTATTTCATAGTACAAGTAGATTCACTTGGCATTTGTCTTGTTGGTTTTTTATAGTTATTTCATAGTATAAGTAGATTCACTTGGCATTTGTCTTGTTGGTTTTTTATAGTTATTTCATAGTTCAAGTAGATTCACTTGGCATTTGTCTTATTGGTTTTTTATAGTTATTTCATAGTTCAAGTAGATTCACTTGGCATTTGTCTTGTTGGTTTTTTATAGTTATTTCATAGTTCAAGTAGATTCACTTGGCATTTGTCTTGTTGGTTTTTTATAGTTATTTCATAGTTCAAGTAGATTCACTTGGCATTTGTCTTGTTGGTTTTTTATAGTTATTTCATAGTTCAAGTAGATTCACTTGACATTTGTCTTATAGGTTTATTATAGTTATTTCATAGTATAAGTAGATTCACTTGGCATTTGTCTTGTTGGGTTTTTATAGTTATTTCATAGTTCAAGTAGATTCACTTGGCATTTGTCTTGTTGGTTTATTATCGTTATTTCATAGTACAAGTAGATTCACTTGACATTTGTCTCGGATACACATATACTTTTTCTTTAATTGATGTGACCCCTTCTTCCGTGAAGAGGTTACATTTGATATTTTAAGAGTGACAAAATATTAATAAGGGAAAAAAATTAATTTACTTGTATCTATTTGTAGATACAAAATTAATTACTGATATTGCAGTGGAAGAGAATAGAAGCACGTCTAAAGATATATCAACAGAGTGTTCGGATCTTGATGTGACTGGTGGTATGGAACTGAAAATAGAAACGGCGAAGGACATTGTGATCGATTCCCAAGGCAGAAGTACAGTATATGTTTGTAATGTATTATCAGAACCATCTTCAATTTTCAATACAGCTTCAATATTAAATGGAACTACAATAAGATTTAGAAAATTCCAGAGTAAGCGTTGTCAAAATCCTTAACAACACAAAGACCATTGGATTTGGCTACGAGAAGTATATCCAATAAGGGTAAAGATAACTAACAGACATTAGATATCTGCTTGGTTAAATGCTTATATTTAGAGTAACATGCTGCCGACTACCATATCGTTGAAATGTCACTTGTTTTCATATTCTGAGGTGTGATAAAATTTCATATACACTCAGTATCCAGTTAGGTATCGACATGATTTCAATAAAACTTTTTGAGATAAGTTCTTGTCTTATGAATTATGATAAACATTAGGTTGCAACACCCTCAAAGTGGGGGATTGATTTCTGATGGTATTATATGATCTGTTGAGGGCGTTTGGTTTTGATGATACCAATCGATGTGTTGTGTATTAATTATCCTTCTATGGTTTTATGCATCGTTACTCATTAAGTTGTCTCCCTTTCATAAGCATACTGTCCTTAATGGGACACCCATAATTGTAATGGATATATTGTGGTTGTTTACCTTCCTAATATTGTCTTAACAAACGGCTTCATGTCTGGCATAGTACAGAGGTTTGATTTACTCACATCTTCCAACAGAGTTGAATGTACTTTCAAAAAACATCTTTATTCCTTTGCCAGTAGGCATGTACTATAAATAAGATATATTCAATCATTATAATGTTTGACATGTTTGCTCACCCGTTGTTGTCAATATAATGGAATTCTACTGTCATACAAATGAGAGGTGTAGCTAGCTATAAAACCAGGTTTAATCCATTATTTGCTACTTAAGGAAATGCCTGTACTAAGTCAGAAACTAAGTCAGAAACATGACAGTTGTTTTCCATTCGTTTGATGTGTTTGAGCTTTTGATTTTGCCATTTGATAAAGGACTTTCCGTTTTGAATTTTCCTTGGAGTTCGGTATTTTTGTTATTTTACTTTTTACAAATAGTACAATTTTGGTACATTGTGTATTACTATTCTGTAACAATTAATTGTTCTATTTACTTAATGTCTTTTTTTTCCCCGTAAATTTTTGAAAAACTTCTAATATGAATTTTTTGAGAAACTTCTAATATGCATTCAATAGGACAATAGTTTAGTTGCAAGATTATCTATTAAGATAAAAAAAAATATTTTTACTAGACGTTTTAGATAAATGATTACATTTGACAAACATCAAACGAGAGTCAAGAGACGATAAATATTTTAAAGGGGTCGTCTCAAAAGACGTATTAATTTTTTTGTATCCTTACCATAATGCATTGTGTAAAGTAATATGAAACATGATAAAGTTCGGATTATATTGTTTTCAGTCTATTAAATTTTGCCCTCTTTCTACCAAACCAGCGCAAAGTTCAACAATCTGATTTATTTTTCCAGCGCGGATGACGCCATATTGTACTTTATAACATTTAAGTCTGCGAACAGTATGTTCGATATGGACTTGAGATAAAGGATACACCAGATACAGTTGAGTCTGTCTCATATCTTGACTTACATCTTGAAATTAACAATGAGGGTCGGTTGAAAACAAAACTTTACGACAAACGATATGATTTCAGTTTCCCAATTGTGAACTTTCCATTTCTATGTAGCAACATTCCAGCGCAGCGCCTGCATACGGAGTATATATCTCCCAGTTGATATGATATTCCAGGGCTTGTATTTCCTATCATGATTTCCTTGATAGAGGGTTGCTGCTAACAAGGAAGCTATTAAACCAAGAGTTCAAAGTGTGAAGTTGAAATCATTCCTTCGTAAATTTTACGGACGCCATCACGAGTTGGTTGACCGTTATAGAATATCTGTTTCACAGATGATGGCGGATATGTTCCAAATGTCGTAACTACAGTCCCGTCCCCTTTTCCCCGAATGTGACCTACTGAATTAGACTTATTACCGGGTTTGTACTAACAACGGGTGCCACATGTGAAGCAGGATATGCTTACCTTTCCGGAGCACCTGAGATCACCCCCAGTTTTTGGTGGGGTTCGTGTTGCTCAGTCTTTAGTTTTCTATGTTGTGTTTTGTGTACTAATCTTTTTTTTAACTGTTGGTCTTTTTTCTTTTTTAGCCATGGCGTTGTCAGTTTATTTTCGACTTATGAGTTTGAATGTTCCTTTGGTATCTTTAGCCTCTCTTTTTCGACATTAACTCTGCATTCTCCAATGCGATGCGATGATTTGGCTACTTGCATTTAGAACGGTTTCTTCTTGTTTTATGACGCAATTGGTGTCCTTTGTAAGGCGTCATTATTGGATAAAGGTTAGCATATAGTTTATCTGATAATATAAAAAAGCTTCTATCGGAAATCAAGCTGAATTCCGTGTCCTTCCAAGGATAACCACTCGTTATGCGACGGCCAATGCAATAGAGAAAATATCTCCCACAACAACGGTACTATACCACCAATCATATGTGACACAGTGAATGAAGAAACATCAAACAACAAAGACAAACTCGAATAACATGGATATGGTCTTAGCCACAAATTACCATCAATAGGCGATTTCTGGGAGACCAGTTGGCATACGACCGATTCAAAGCAAGTGCCGAAATTTTAGAGGCTTTTGGCATTGTCTCAGAATCTGAATCTGATTCTAATTAAAATAAACAGAATATCCTAGTATATGACTCGTTCATATTTTTATATATCGCTATGTCATAAAAAAAAATAAAATACAGACGTTCTAATTCATGACATGTAGTTTGAGTCTTTTCTCTGAACTGCAAAACATTATCGTCGAGTGAGGTAGCATTGGCGTATCCAGAAGAGAGGGGGGGTTGCTATTTATGTGAACGTTCCAAAGTGATCCAGGTTTTGGAATACCCCCACCTTTTCAAAATGGCTGTATCCGCGCCTGGGTAGCAATGTTAAACAGTTATTATTGTACTGAGTAAATCAATAACTAATTTAATCTTTTGAGATGGTCCCTAATTTAAATGTCTCAACTATAGACTCTCGACTCTCAATTGTCAACAATAGTTATTTATCAAACATGTCTACTAAATCGTCAAGTTTAAGCGATAAAACATTTTAACAACACGTTATAAATTTCATGCGTCCGAAGCGCTTTTCTTGATTTACTTTCATCAGGAAGGCTGAAAGCTGAATATTTAAAAGCCAAGGATGTATAAAAAAACCGAAACAGTCGAAGATCTTCATTACCAAAAAGGCCCTAAAATAATAGCCAATATAAAAATATGGAGATGTGGTATGATTGCCAATGAGACAACTATCCGCCAAAGTTCAAATAAAGTGGATGTAAGCAATCATAGGCAACCGTACGGCCTTCAACAATGAGAAATCCCCATACCGTATAGTCGGCTATAAAAGACCCCGACATGAAAAATATGAAACAATTCAATTGAGAAAAATCAATCTGAGGTCAACTTTGCCTGAATGAGTTGAAACCTTAGTTTCTTTTTGATTTCAAAATTTATCAAATCATGTCAGTACCTAAGTGCTGAGCTGATGATACCCTCGGGGACTGATAGACCACCAGCAGAGGTATCGACCCAGTGCTGTAAAAAATGAAAACAACACGTTATGTATTTCATGCGTCTGATAAACTACTGGTAAACTATTGTCGCCTAAATATGCAACCTTGGAAACAAGGTTCCAGAATGCAAAGGGTATGCAAATTAAATATGCAGATTCCGTATATCATCTCCTGCACATTGGCTAAGACGTCATGACATTTCTGTAATATTCCGATGACGATTTAGTTGTGTAAAGATTGATCTGACACTTTTATTTGTTATTATTTAATTTATATCTGTTAAATCATTTTCATCTTATGCATAAGATTGTGCTAGTTGATTGATGTTTTGCATAAAATGTTTCAAGCATGCTATGAAATTATTTAAATGAAATATTGTAACATAATATATTTCTTCTCTTTTTTTTACACATTTGCTACCTTTTGTATGGCGTCTACATATCTCAATTCAAACGTTACGCCCGTGCATGTTAACACTATACGGACTTCACAATCAGGGGTTTGCTCTTGATACAAAAACTGCTCTAACAGAGTAATGAGGAAAAACGAGTGAATTCGGCACAACATAAAAGTTTACTGTCACCTTCGCGAATTGGTTGACCAATACAATATGTCTGTGTCTCAACTCACTCGCAACATATTTTTGCAGTCTTAGATTTTTATATAACCAGAAGTTCGTATGATATGTAAATTAACCTAATTGTTTCCTATTCCCGATTGTGAAATTTTAACTGAGTGTGGAATCACATTGCCGGCTATGCATGCATCGCAGGAGAGGGTTACTTTGTCAACGCATATGATCAAAAGATAATTGCGACCCTGTTCAAAAGCGTCGGTAAACTACTGTTGCATCTTATATTTGTCGATTGTCCTTGACCTCATTTTTCACTGTTCAGGAAATATTGCTTAACAAATTGTTATTTTTTTTCTCACTGATTTTGAGATACAATATAACTTTATTTGGTTTGTGGGATCTTTGCAAGGTCTTCATGTCCGTCAGACAGGATTAATCTGACCATGACCATATTTCATTTCTAAAATACGATAAACAGTAAGTAAACTATATTGGTGAATGGAATGATTGTAAGGTGTTCATGTCCGGTTAATTTTGACCTTGACCTCATTTTCATGGTTGATTGGATTGGTCATTGTTAAGTTATTGTGGTAAGGTCTGTTTTCTCAGATTATATAAGCAATAGGTCAACTATATTCAATGAATGGAATGATTGAAAGGTGTACATATTTGCCTAGCAGGTTTAATCTGACCGTGACCTCATTTTCATTTTCGTGGTTTGGTACATTGTTTTTTTTTTATATATTATAAGGAATAGGCCACTATTATTTGTTGTATGAAATGATTGTAAGGTTCGCATGTCCGTCTGGTATGGTTCATTTGACCTTGGCATCATTTTCATAGTTTTGATTTCTCAATGTTGAAGTTTCATATTAAAGTCTGTTTCACATATATTATAAGGAATAGGGTCAACTATTTGGTGTATGGAATAATTGCAATCTGTACATGTCTGTCTGATAGGGCTCATCTTGCTTGAATCCATTTTCATGGTTCATTGATCAATGTTAAGTTTACATGGTTTGGTCTGTTTCTCAGATACTATAAGCAATATGACAATTATATTTGGTATATGGAATGATTGTATGGTGTACCTATCCTTGTGGCAAGGTTCATCTGACCAAGACCTCATTTTTATGGTTCATTAGTCAACGTTAAGTTTTCATGGTTAAGTGTTTTTAAGATTCTATAAGAAA